TTGACCTGCTGCTCACAAACCGGGAAGAATTAGTAGGGGAAGCAAAAGTGGATGAGAACCTGGGAGGCAGTGACCATGAGATGGTCGAGTTCAGGATCCTGACACAAGGAAGAAAGGAAAGCAGCAGAATACGGACCCTGGACTTCAGAAAAGCAGACTTTGACTCCCTCCGGGAACTGATGGGCAGGATCCCCTGGGAGAATAACATGAGGGGGAAAGGAGTCCAGGAGAGTTGGCTGTATTTTAAAGAATCCTTATTGAGGTTACAGGGACAAACGATCCCGATCTGTAGAAAGAATAGTAAATATGGCAGGTGACCAGCTTGGCTTAACAGTGAAATCCTTGCTGATCTTAAACACAAAAAAGAGGCTTACAAGAAGTGGAAGATTGGACAAATGACCAGGGATGAGTATAAAAATATTGCTCGGGCATGTAGGAATGAAATCAGGAAGGCTAAATCACACCTGGAGTTGCAGCTAGTGAGAGATGTTAAGAGTAGCAAGAAGAGTTTCTTCAGGTATGTTAGCAATAAGAAGAAAGTCAAGGAAAGTGTGGGCCCCTTACTGAATGAGGGAGGCAACCTAATGACAGAGGATGTGGAGAAAGCTAATGTACTCAATGCTTTTTTTTGCCTCTGTCTTCCCGAACAAGGTCAGCTCCCAGACTACTGCACTGGGCAGCACAGCATGGGGAGGAGGTGACCAGCCCTCTGTGGAGAAAGAAGTGGTTCGGGACTATTTAGAAAAGCTGGACGAGCACAAGTCCATGGGGCCGGATGCGTTGCATTCGAGAGTGCTAAAGGAGTTGGCGGATGTGATTGCAGAGCCATTGGCCATTATCTTTGAAAACTCATGGCGATCGGGGGAAGTTCCGGAAGACTGGAAAAAGGCTAATGTAGTGCCAATCTTTAAAAAAGGGAAGAAGGAGGATCCTGGGAACTACAGGCCAGTCAGCCTCACCTCAGTCCCTGGAAAAATCATGGAGGATATCCTCAAGAAATCAATTCTGAAGCACAAAGAGGAGAGGAAAGTGATCAGGAACAGTCAGCATGGATTCACCAAGGGAAAGTCATGCCTGACTAATCTAATTGCCTTCTATGATGAGATAACTGGTTCTGTGCATGAAGGAAAAGCAGTGGACGTGTTATTCCTTGACTTTAGCAAAGCTTTTGACACGGTCTCCCACAGTATTCTTCTCAGCAAGTTAAAGTAGTATGGGCTGGATGGATGCACTACAAGGTGGGTGGAAAGTTGGCTAGATTGTCGGGCTCAGCGGGTAGTGATCAATGGCTCCATGTCTAGTTGGCAGCCGGTATCTAGAGGCGTGCCCCAAGGGTCGGTCCTGGGGCTGGTTTTGTTCAATATCTTCATTAATGATCTGGAGGATGATGTGGATTGCACCCTCAGCAAGTTTGCAAATGACACTAAACTGGGAGGAGAGGTAGATACACTGGAGGGTAGGGATAGGATACAGAGGGACCTAGACAAATTGGAGGATTGGGCCAAAAGAAATCTGATGAGGTTCAACAAGGACAAGTGCAGAGTCCTGCACTTAGAAGAATCCAATGTATCGCTACAGACTAGGGACCGAATGGCTCCGCAGCAGTTCTGCAGAGAAGGACCTAGGGGTGACAGTGGACGAGAAGCTGGATATGAGTCAACAGTGTGCCCTTGTTGCCAAGAAGGCCAATGGCATTTTGGGGTGTATAAGTAGGGGCATTGCCAGCAGATCGAGGGACGTGATCGTTCCCCTCTATTCGACATTGGTGAGGCCTCATCTGGAGTACTGTGTCCAGTTTTGGGCCCCACACTACAAGAAGGATGTGGAGAAATTGGAGAGAGTCCAGAGAAGGGCAACAAAAATGATTAGAGGACTTGAACACATGACTTATGAGGAGAGGCTGAGGGAACTGGGGATGTTTAGTCTACGGAAGAGAAGAATGAGGGGGGATTTGATAGCTGCTTTTAACTACCTGAAAGGTGGATCCAAAGAGGATGGCTCTAGACTATTCTCAGTGATAGCAGATGACAGGACAAGGAGTAATGTTCTCAAGTTGCAGTGGGGGAGATTTAGGTTGGATATTAGGAAAAACTTTTTCACTAGGAGGGTGGTGAAGCATTAGAATGGGTTACCTAGGGAGGTGGTGGAATCCCCTTTCTTAGAAGTTTTTAAGGTCAGGCTTGACAAAGCCGTGGCTGGGATGATTTAGTTGGGGATTGGTCCTGCTCTGGGCAGGGGGTTGGACTAGATGACCTCCAGAGGTCCCTTCCAACCCTGATATTCTATGATTCTAAGAACATGGCCTCAGTCTGTCACAGTGAGAGAAGGCCCTTACACAAGCAAACAGTGACTCTGATTCTTTCTTTTATACCTCTATAACCAGCTAAATGATAAACATATACCTACATTCTTAAAGTCTATGCCTTTACAGACAGGCCTGAATATCTATATCCTAACAGAGGTAAGAAGGGAAATGGCTGGCTTGATTAACCTATCCTCTCTCCTTGGCTGAACTCAGTGGCACAGAACTGTTGTATGTCTTGTACTGTCATGGCCCTTAGTGCTTTGCTTCCCTGGACTTCTGTGGTTGTTTGAACCAGACTGCGTGAGCTTTGGAAGAATCCAACTACTTTTACTTTGTCTGGGTGAGGTAGTTTGTAGTTAACTTGCTGCAGAGTGTTACTGTCTAGATATCTGTTAGTGTGTCCTACAAGAAAGTAGCTCTATGCCCACTCCAAGCACTGCCCCTACCAGCTCCAGCCCTTGGGAATTCCCAGTAAACACTCTTCCATTTCTATTAAGTAAAAGAGGATTCTTTACTAGGTCTGGCAGGAAAGACAGTATGCAGATACCCTAGGACACAAGTCTTAGGGAGCAGTTACAAAAAGAAAGGCAGAGGATTTCCATATTATCCCCATGGGAGGAAGGCCAAAAGTGTACAAGTTTCAGGATTTCTTGGGTCTAGTATACAAGCTGACTATTTATATCCAGCCACGTCAGACAGAGTCATAGAATCATAGAATATCAGGGTTGGAAGGGACCTCAGGAGGTCATCTAGTCCAACCCCCTGCTCAAAGCAGGACAAATCCCCAATTTTTGCCCCAGATCCCTAAATGGCCCCCTCAAGGATTGAACTGACAACCCTGGGTTTAGCAGGCCAATGCTCAAACCACTGAGCTATCCCTCCCCCCAGTGAATGAGTCTTGGTCTCACAGTCCTGAGCTTGGTTGCCCACCTGGTGCTCTGGATGGTGCCCAGTGGTCATGTTGAGGGTCCTCCCATGTGGTCTCCCTGTGCCTTGTTACACTGTTGGTTTATGTCTTTTGCTGGGTGGGTGACTTCTGCTCATGTAGGTGATAGATGGACTGCATGATGCTCCCCACTCCCCCCTGTGGTACCTATATGAGGCTCTTCTCATACCTTGTTCTCTGCTTCCCCTTATCTTCTGTTAGTCTAGCTCCCAAACCATTGGCCAGCCTGCTCTATCCCCCAGCACTAACTCTTCTGCAGCAGCTGCTCCTCAATAGCTCCTTTGGGCACCTTGTATCTCTGCCCTTCCTGCTCCCAGCTCTTCCAGACTTGATTTGTGGCTGCCCAGCTTTAATGCAACTTTCTCTCCACAGCCAGGTCTAAGGCTGCTATGCACACACTTCACCTTCCATCTACCAGGTCCAGTTGCTGATCCTGTCTGTGCCCTCACTTGCTTATCCTGGTCACTGTGGGTAACACAGAGACCACTACTGGCTGGATGCTGATCTAAGTCACTCCCCTTCCTAAGAATTGGATGTGTTACCCAGTAAAGATTCAGCAGTCTTGCTACACTAGTTTCTCCTCTGAAAAGGTTGCTACTCTGTATTCACAGTTAAACCAGAAGGGGATCCAGTGCGCTGCCCTGTACAGTCATCCTCTGAGCTCATAACTTACTCACAGCATCACCACTTGCCTTGCTTGGGTGCAGAAATGGCATGTGGTCAGATTGTTCAACCAGCTGCTGTGTGTGTCTCATTGGCATGACTTGCTCCAATCTTTGCTCAAGACTGACCAGTAATGGCTTCTTCTATGTGCTCTCCTACTGTGTGCCACATAGTGATCATAAAGCCTAAGATATCTCCCACTCTGGGGACCTCTCTGATTGTGGAAGACCATGCTTTCCTTTGGCCTTAGCTTTCTAATCCAAAACTCTTGTTCCAAATGTAGCGCAGGCCAGACATGCACGGCTGCATCTTTGGCTTCTGCTAGAACAGGGGTGGCCAACCTGAGCCTGAGAAGGAGCCAGAATTTACCAATGTACATTGCCAAAGAGTCACAGTAATATGTCAGCAACCCCGCATCTGCTCCCCAGCTCCCAGTGCCTCCCGCCTGCTGGCAGCCCCCACCAATCAGCACCTACTCCTCCCTCCCCCTGCACACCACAATCAGCTGTTTCACGTGCACAGGAGGCTATGGGGGGAGGGGAAGAAGTAAGGTCATGCAAGGCTCAGGGGAAGGGGCAGGGGCCTTAGGGGAAGGGGTGGAGTGGGTGCTGGGCTTGGGGCAGAACAGGGGGTTGAGCAGTGAGCATCCCCCAGCACATATAGCTCCAGCCCCGGAATCAGTGCCTAGGTAAGGAGCTGCATACTAACCGCTGAAGAGCTGCATGCAGTTCCAGAGCCACAGGTTGGTCACCCCTGTGCTAGAAAGTTCATTCATCCATCCTTTTTTCAGCATCTCAGCAGGATTCATTTCCTGGGATTTTCTTACGGCTTCCACTGGCTTGTCTCTTACTTAAACATCTCCCCCCACCCCAGTGCTAGTGTCCTCATGTTTCAAGGCCATCACCCAGAATCTGAAGCAATTCTTTCCTATGTGCACTCTGATTCTTTATCCTTCTTCCCATCCTTGTCACTGTGATAGCTCTGTTGGCCAGTCTATGGCCTATCTTTCCATGTGAGAGTGCATCTATTATTTTCTGCTCCATATTCACAGCCTTGTTCCAACATCCTACCAGAGCCTGTGACGTTCACTTGAGACACAGAGATCTGAGAGCCATGAAAGCAGACGTTTATTTTCACACACTGAACTACCCAAACCAGCCAAAACTGGCTGGGCTATCCCCAAATATTCTAACTCAGTTGCCATAGCAACAACAAGGTGCTATTACCACAACAACCAAATACACAACATATTCCTCCCCCCTTAATAAGAACATCCCCTAAATAAAACAAACACTAAACTAGAGAAGGAGGGTAGACTGCCTCCATTCCCGGCTAAACCCAGGGGATTATTTTGCCCCATAACCGTGGGTTCGCCCTAGCTAAAGATCCAGCCATTGAGGGGGTCTTCTGTCTCTAGGTGGATTACGGTGAACTTCTGGTGTTGTTGCACCCGAAAGTACCTTGGGCGCTGGCCTGACAATGGGCTCGGGGTTCGTAGCATGAACGGGTGAGGAGGTGGCATCAGCTTGTTCCGGGCAAGGGGGTATCTCAGCCGCCAGCAGTAATGGAGGAGAACAGTCAGAAACAGGTGATTCTTGATTCGGTGTCTCGCCAGAAGGGGTGAAGTCAGACAACTCAACTGAAGATGTGTCCTGATGACTGGCAGGACCTGGCAACAGCTGATCTACATGTCGCTGCCAGGTGAGATTCTTTGCAGTCCGGACTGTGTAGGAAACAGGTCCTGTTTGAGTGATGATCATGGCAGGGACCCATTTAGCTCCAGAAGTATAATTGCGAGCCAAAACTGGCTGTCCTGAGCTAAAGGTTTGGTCTTTTGCTCTGGGTGCATGCCTGATGACTTCATATTGCTGCTGACTTTGCACAATTTGTCTGGGTTCAGAAGGTTTCAGCAGATCAAAGCAAGTGCGCAGCTGTCGTCCCATCATTAGAAAGGCTGGGGATGCCTTGGTTGTAGCATGAGATGTGTTTCTGTAGGAAAGTAAGAAGGTATCCAGACGCTTTTGAATGGAGTGTTGTCCCTTTGCTGATTTCAAAGCTTGTTTCATTGTCTGCACAAATCTTTCAGCTAATCCATTGGTTTGATGGATGATATGGTGCTGAAGTGATGTGGTGTATCCCATTTGCCTTAGTAAAATTTTGAAACCCCCGAGAGATGAACTGCCGTCTGTTGTCGCTCACAAGTTGTTCTGGCAGACCGAAACGACGAAAGAGTCCCCTTAGTTTTTGGATAGTATTCCCTGCAGTAGTGGACTGCATTGTAGAGACTTCTGGCCATTTAGAATGGGCATCTACCACCACCAAGAACATGCTTCCTTCAAGGGGGCCAGCGAAGTCAACATGAACACGTTGCCAAAGGTTTTCAGGCCAGTCCCATGGGTGTAGGGGCGCCCACTGGGGTGCATTCCTGACACCCTGACATGACATACAAGCTCTTGCCTTCTCTTCAATAGCACTGTCCAATCCAGGCCATCAAAAATAGCTTAGTGCAATTTCTTTCATGCGCACTATTCCACAGTGACCAGAATTCAGCTGTTCTAACATCTGTGATCTCAGTGGTGGTGGGATAATGACACGTCTCCCTCACAACAAACAACCAGATTGGATTGATAACTCTGTCCTCCTGGACATGTAGGTAACAAAGTTGGGTGAGACCGGAGAGGTTTGTCGAGATTTCCCATGAATCACCAGGTCCATAACTTGGGACAATACTGGGTCAACGCGATTTGCCTTCTTTATCTGAATAGCAGTGATGGGTGTATTCTGTATGTGTTCAAAGTAGAAGATTTCCTTTTGGGCAGTATCTTCATGTTTGACTGGCAAAGGCAACCGTGAGAGACCATCTGCATTGCCATGCAGAGTGGATTTCTGATATTTGATTTCATATGTGTGTGCTGAAAGTAACAATGCCCAATGTTGCATATGACTAGCAGCTAATGGGGGAATGCCTGCATAGGGTCCAAAAATTGACGTCAGAGGTCGATGGTCTGTAAGAAGAGTAAACTTCCACCCAAACAGGTACTGATGAAACTTCCGAATTCCAAAAACGATTCCCAATGCCTCGCGTTCGATTTGGGCATAGTTAGTTTCTGCTTTGCTTAGAGTGCGTGAAGCAAAAGGAATAAGTCTCTCTTCTCCCGAAGGCATAATGTGTGGCACAACTGCTCCCACTCTATAAGGGGAGGCATTGCAGATCAATTGTAGGGGTAAGGATGGATCAAAGTGTGTTAGAACTTCAGAATTTAGCAATGCATCCTTAGCTTTGTTAAATGCAACATTATAGGCTTCAGTCCACTTCCAGGTCTTATTCTGCCCAAGGAGTTCGTGAAGTGGTTTTAGCAGTGTGGCTAACTGTGAGATGAACTTTCCATAATAGTTCAATAGTCCTAGAAACGAGCGCAGCTGGCTAACATTTCGAGGTTGGGGAGCCTCCACAATAGCCTTAACTTTTTCAGGGGCCTTCTGAGACCCTCAGCATCAATGATGTGTCCCAAAAATTCAACAGAGGGCTGGAAGAATTCATATGTATGTTTGCGGACTCGTAGGCCATATTCTTCCAGTCTTTGTAGGGTAGCCTCTAAATTCTTTAAGTGATCCTCTTCATTCCTTCCAGTGACCAGAATGTCGTCCAGATAACACTGAACTCCTGGCAAGCCGCACAAGATCTGGTCCATAGACCTCTGGAACAGGGCAGGAGCAGATGTTATTCTGAAGGGTAAGGACAGTATCGATAAAGCCCCTTATGAGTCACAATAGTCAACAGCTCTTGGGACTTTTCATCAACATGCATCAGTAAATGCGCTTGACTCAGATCAATCTTACTGAATTTTTGTCCCCCAGCCAGGCCCGTGAAGAGGTCATTGATGCGGGGAAGCGGGTATTGCTCTGCACACAACACAGTGTTGACAGTGACTTTAAAATCACTGCAAATCCGGAGGGAGCCATCTTTCTTCACTATTGGAATGATAGGAGTGGCTATGATTGCTATGGCTACTAGGCTTTATTCTATCCTCTTCATTATCCCTGCTTCTATGAGAGCCCTGGTTCTTGGTGATATTAGTGCCTCTGCACTATTCTGACTGCCAGTGTTCAATTTAACCCATCTGAAAAGAAGTGTCATTTTTTCTAATGAAATATTTTTAAAAATGGTCCAGCTGTTGAAGATCCAAGGGGGGCAGTGTCTGCTTTCAGCAGCAGCAGAGCACATAGTTGAGAAGCTCTGTCTTAATCAATAGATGTCAGTGTATCATCAGTAGAAATTATTCTAGGAGTGGCTTTCACCAACTGAAAAAAAAATGTAAGTGGCTAGTCCTTCGACCATATTAAAGAAGCAGCATACTGACAGGTTATTTTTCAGGCTCTGCAATAATCAGATTGGTTTGCTGTTGGAGGCAGAATTGCTTGTACTCTATAGCACAGTAAAGAGATTATTCATCTGTCACTAAAACATAGATACAAATTCCAAGGTGGAATTTAAAAGCTGTGCTACACAAACACTAGTTTAGGGGAGAAAAAATAAACTTTTCTGCTGCAAGAGGAATGGAGGTAAGCAGAACGCAATTTCTCACAATGGAAGCTGGCTCAAAACATCAAATTAAACCTCCCACATAAGCAAAAAGTGCTGTAAGATCTTTAATGTCCATGATTTGTCAGAGTTTTGTTTTACATTGTCTCTGAAAAAATACTCCTCTATATGTAACAGTGGTGTCCTTATAACCAGGTCAAGGCATTTCCAGGAGGAAAGATTTAAAAGTTTGAGTGCACACTACCACTTCCCTTAACTCTTGTATGTTCCTAGGAGGTCTCATATCCAAGCCTGACCCTGCTTTAATTGACAAGAGCTGAGCCCTTGCCAGCCCAATGTGTGGTATATTTGCAGGCTGGGGAATAACACCCTTCCCCATTAATGAATGTTTCCATGCTCAATACTGAACCAGAGATTAGCACACCTTATCTGTTAATACATCTGCTGAATACCAGTTCAAGTCAGTGCTTTCATCTGAGGTGCAATCTGGTAGCAATACGCTATTTATGAGTAAATCTGTTCAGGGAAGAGCATTATGGCTAGACTTTTCGGAAGGTTTCAGTGGGCTGTATTGTATCCTTTAACAATACAATAAACATAGATTTTTTTATTGCCATATAAATTTTGCATGAATGATAAGCTCAAGAGTTATAAACAGCATTTAACACAGTACTTTTCAGTGTCCTGTAATAACAGACAGACTATAGGAAGAACATATACAAGATCAGTAGCTCTGGCTTTATTTAACAAGACAATTTCTGTGACAGAGAAAGGTCATATCACAGTCTTTGATTTATTTCTTTTCATAGTAACAATGTCTATTTATAAATGATGATTAAATGAAAGCATATTATGGAACAGAGGCTGGAAAACTGACCCCAGGCTATAACTGTACAGTAGTGTAATATTTGCTTTGGGTGAAATAAAGTTTTGGGGCTACTTGATGAGTCATTTGTTATAGCTGTAATTTGATTTTTAAATAAGGATGATTAGTGTTCCGCAACTGAGAAAATCATGCTGTCCTTTTCTCCTTCCCCCCACTATTCTCTGCTTCAGTATGGAAGGTGAATAGTGCAGCTAGGCTCCTCAAAACAAATTGTAGAATGCAATTATCAGCAAATTCCACTTCTTAATAGATAGCCTTGCTGCTTTGTGGGATGGGGTTGTTTGCATAACATGATACTTAGCCTCCGCACTAAAAAGAGACAATGTAGCATCTAGACAGAGGTGTTTGTTTGGCTAAGGCTATGTCTACACTAATGAAGTCCATGCAACTTATGCCGATGATCATAAACCACTAAAATTATATCACTTGTGCATGTTCACACAACACTCCTTGTGTCAGCAGAGCAAGTCCATAATTGGTGCTCTAGCACTGAAAGAGATCAGTGCACTGTGGGTAGAAACTCGCCACCTTCTGCCGCTAGAAGTTGTGGGAATGGATCACTGTGCATCATGGTTGCGGGCTCACCATCACATGATGCAGTTTTTTCTGTCCCATCATTTCATGGCCTTCCAGTTACATTTTGTGCTTTTTTTTAACAGCCCGTGCAAACTGTGTGCCACCATCTCTGCCTGAAAGCATGGATCCTGCATTACTGTCCAGTCTTGTGGTAATTGTTATGAACACAACATGGCAGATCATGCAGTATTTCATGAACTACAAGTCCAAACAGGAATCCCTGGGGCTTGCCCTGCTATGTGCCAGGGGAAAAAAACAATTCCAGATTACTTTTGGCATTCATGGAGCAGCTGCACGTGATGGATCATTGCTACTGGGCTTGGGAAACAAGTACTGAATGATGGGATAAGATCATTATGCAGGTATGGGATGACAAGCAGTGGCTGCAAAACTTCTGGTTGTGCAAAGTCATATTCCTGGAATTGTGTATGGTGCTCGCCCTTGCCCTCTGGCACAAGGACAGCAAAATGAGAGCTGCCCTTGAAGAAGAGCGTGATGATCGCTGTGTGGAAGCTGGCAACTCAGACTGCTACCGGTCAGTCACAAATCTGTTTGGAGTTGGGAAGTCGACAACTGGGGCTGCATTCATGCAAGTATCCTCAGCCATTAATCACCTCCTGCTGAGAACGATTGTGACTCTGAGAAATGTCCGTGAAATAGCAGATGGCTTTGCTGCAATGCGATTCCCTAACTGCAGCGGGGCTATAAATGGCATGCATATTCCAGTTTTGGCCCAGGACCATTTTCTGATGGAGTACATCAATAGAAAGGGGTACTTCTCCATGATATTTCAGGTGCTTTTGAATCACTGGGGTAATTTCACTGATATCAATGTGGGGTGGTTCGGGAAGGTGCATGATGGATGCATCTTCAGAAACACTGACCTGTATAGAAAGCTGCAAACAGAGACTTTCTTTTTAGACCAGAAGATTCCAGTGGGGGCTGTTGAAATGCCCACTGTGATACAGGGAAACCCAGCCTACCCCTTAATCCCTTGGCTCATGAAGCCTTATACGGGAAACCTTGACAGCAGCAAGAAGTGCTTCAACAGTCTCAGCAGGTGCAGAATGACCATTGAACGTGCGTTTGGAAGATTAAGGGCTTGCTGGCACTGCTTTTATGGCAGGTTAGACCCCAGTAAAGAAAACATTCCCATGGACATAGCAGCCTGCTGTGCTCTGCATAACATTTGTGAAGCTTAGGGGGAAAAGTTTCCCCAGTGGTGAAGCATTGAGGCAGATCGACTGGTGGCTGATTATGAGCAGCCAGATACCAGGGCTATTAGAGGGGCTCAACAGGGCTATTCAAATCAGGGAGGCTTTGAAGCAGCATTTTGACAATGAGCCCCAGTTATGTGTCTTTCTGGAATGAATTCAGCCAGGCTTTGTTTACTTGCCCCCTGGAATGACCCTTGTAATGATTGCTTCCTGAGTGTGATTTGTAGTCTGCAAATGTGCCAATTGCTACTGTGTATGATGAATTCCAGCAGCAACCTCTGTGTGTAGGAGAAAAATAAAGATTATTTTTCTTTCTATGAGTACATCTTTATTAAAGAGCAATAACCAATACACAGAATTTGATGTCTTACAAGGGACATGACACTGAGGAGCACTCTCTTAATGGACGCTCTCATAGCTGTGTGTAAATACAGCTGTAATTAGGGAACCTATCCAAAGGGGTGGAGTGAAAGGGGTACTGTGATGGGCCGAGAACACACAAGGACTGAGGGGAGTGGGGGGGAGTTTGGGGAGGGCATAGCATGCAGTTCTGTATGGGCTGCATGTGTTCTGACTGCACTGCAATCAGGGACTTCAGCATCTCTGTTTGGTCCTCCATCAGTTTTATCATTTGCTCCTGGCCCATTAAAATATTTTTCTGGCCTTGCTTCTATTTTCAGTTTTTTGTAATTGTCTCTCTCCATGCCCTGTGATCATTATCTGCAGCATCAGATGATTGGAGCAGCTCCCTAAACATGTCCTCCTTACTCCTCCTGGGTTGCTTCCTTATCTGACAGGAGGATCCGATGAAGTGAGCTGTAGCTCACGAAAGCTTATGCTCAAATAAATTTGTTAGTCTCTAAGGTGCCACAAGTACTCCTTTTCTTTTTGTGAATACAGACTAACACGGCTGCTACTCTGAAACTTATCTGACAGGAACACTCAGCCAGTGTATAGGGAGTTCCCCTCCAGGGCACATCTGCAGAATCACAAGAAACAATAAACAGAGCACAGAGGCAGTATTGTGAGTAAAGTCACAGTATCAAATCATAATAGTTAAATACACCTCTTTCTCACTCTCCCTTGGCAAGCACACAGCTTGGCGAGCTCCCTAAACACGGTGAGGTCAGCCCTGGGGGTTGTGGAGGCAAAGGTCCAAGATGGGGCAAAGGGTCTAGGTGTTTTTTTAAGGGAATAACTGCACGTGCCTAGGGACACTATTGTATATTTTGCCACCATTTTCCACAGGCAGGTATCTCACTGAAGCTGGTATCTCACTCCTGAGGGTAAACAAGGATGCATCTTCCACATGCGTTCAGTTTCAGATTGGGTCCCTATGCTGCTCACCTGTGTGCTGTTTTGGTCCCTGCACAAGTCATTGCCCATTGACATGGCAAAGTTTCCTGCAGTGTGGGAAAAACAAAGCAGCTCTGTGCCAAGGAACCTTCATCACAGGATTGGTGAGTATAGAATCATAGAATATCAGGGTTGGAAGGGACCCCAGAAGGTCATCTAGTCCAACCCCCTGCTCGAAGCAGGACCAATGCCCACTTAAATCATCCCAGCCAGGGCTTTGTCAAGCCTGACCTTAAAAACCTCTAAGGAAGGAGATTCTACCACCTCCCTAGGTAACGCATTCCAGTGTTTCACCACCCTCTTAGTGAAAAAGTTTTTCCTAATATCCAATCTAAGCCTCCCCCACTGCAACTTGAGACCATTACTCCTCGTTCTGTCATCTGCTACCATTGAGAACAGTCTAGAGCCATCCTCTTTGGAACCCCCTTTCAGGTAGTTGAAAGCAGCTATCAAATCCCCCCTCATTCTTCTCTTCCGTAGACTAAACATCCCCAGTTCCCTCAGCCTCTCCTCATAAGTCATGTGTTCAAGTCCCCTAATCATTTTTGTTGCCCTTCGCTGGACTCTCTCCAATTTATCCACATCCTTCTTGTAGTGTGGGGCCCAAGACTGGACACAGTACTCCAGATGAGGCCTCACCAATGTCGAATAGAGGGGAACGATCACGTCCCTCGATCTGCTCGCTATGCCCCTACTTATACATCCCAAAATGCCATTGGCCTTCTTGGCAACAAGGGCACACTGCTGACTCATATCCAGCTTCTCATCCACTGTCACCCCTAGGTCCTTTTCCGCAGAACTGCTGCCTAGCCATTCGGTCCCTAATCTGTAGCTGTGCATTGGGTTCTTCCGTCCTAAGTGCAGGACCCTGCACTTATCCTTATTGAACCTCATCAGATTTCTTTTGGCCCAATCCTCCAATTTGTCTAGGTCCTTCTGTATCCTATCCCTCCCCTCCAGCGTACCTACCACTCCTCCCAGTTTAGTATCATCCGCAAATTTGCTGAGAGTGCAATCCACACCATCCTCCAGATCATTTATGAAGATATTGAACAAAACCGGCCCCAGGACCGACCCTTGGGGCACTCCACTTGATACCGGCTGCCAACTCGACATGGAGCCATTGATAACTACCCGTTGAGCCCGACAATCTAGCCAGCTTTCTACCCACCTTATAGTGCATTCATCCAGCCCATACTTCCTTAACTTACAGACAAGAATACTGTGGGAGACTGTGTCAAAAGCTTTGCTAAAGTCAAGAAACAATACATCCACTGCTTTCCCTTCATCCACAGAACCAGTAATCTCATCATAAAAGGCGATTAGATTAGTCAGGCATGACCTTCCCTTGGTGAATCCATGCTGGCTGTTCCTGATCACTTTCCTCTCATGCAAGTGCTTCAGAATTGATTCTTTGAGGACCTGCTCCATGATTTTTCCAGGGACTGAGGTGAGGCTGACTGGCCTGTAGTTCCCAGGATCCTCCTTCTTCCCTTTTTTAAAGATGGGCACTACATTAGCCTCCCGGAAAATTTCCTAGAGATCTCTCTGGAGGATTCCTGTGAAATCTCACTGTGCATTAACAAAATTTTCCACAGAGCCCCCACTGTGTAGCTGCATAGGGGAATGGGAAGCAGATACAAAATCTGCTAGTCATGTACATTTCTGTCCTTTACCCATTTCTAATATATAATGAAACAAAGAACAGCTCTGCCTCATGTATCTAAGCAGTATCAAATCAAAATGAGTACTTACCAGAGCTCACCTCTCCTGCATGCCAGAGCCAGAGTGCTGGGACCATCTTGAGCCCTCTGGGATCAAGATAGGGTGACCAGATGTCCCGATTTTATAGGGACAGTCCTGATATTTGGGGTTTTTTCTTATATAGAAGCCTATTACCCCCTACTCCCATCATGATTTTTCACACTTGCTATCTGGTCACCCTAGATCAAGAAGAGGTCCTGGATCACCTGATGCTCTGCAACCAGGCACACAGGCATCTGACCCTTCCACTTTAAAGGACTGGGTATTTTTCAAATTTCTCTTCCGTGTGCTCGAAGTGGAGAGCTCACATGGCATCTTCCCAGCTGATCATGGCAGTTCCACATAGCAAACACTCTCCTGCTTGGAGCACACCAGAGTTGCTGGATCTTCTGGGTCTGTGGGGAGAGGTGGCTGTGCAGTCCCAGCTCCCCTCCAGCTTTAGGAACTTTGATACCTATGGTCAGATTTCTCATGGCATATTGGAGAAGGGCGATAGATCGGCCACATATTAGTGCCATGCGAAGATCAAGGAGTTGAGGCAGGCATACCAGAAGGCAATGGAGGCAAACCGTCACTCTGGTCCTGTGCCAAAGACCTGCCTCTTCTACAAGGAGCTGGATGCCATCCTCAGCGGTGACCCCACCTACACTGCAAAGAGTCCCGTGAATACTTTACGGGGGCTGGAGATAGTGGCCAGCAGAATCAACCCCTAAGATGAAGTGGTGGACAAGGAAGTGCAGTTGGAGGATGAGGTAGGAATTTGAACCACTGACTAGAGCAGTAAGGATGGGCATTGTGAGACACCTCCTGGAAGCCATTTGTGGAAATATAAGCAAGTGCAATGTCTGCACTGACACTGTGTCCATCTAACTTTCTCACAAAAAGCTCTATGCCTCTTGTTGAGGTGGTTTAATTTTGTTGGAGTAGCAGGAGAGTTAAATTGGTGGGCAGAGCATTGTAGTGTGAACATCTCCATTGTTTTGTTGATGAAATCTGACTTATGTCGACAAAACAGTGTCGTGTAGACCAGGCCTAACCGAGTTGTTCACTGCAAGTGCTTGAGTAATTAGGAGACCTCATTTCCATTTTCCTAAAGCTTTCTGGAAGTCTCCTGAACATTCAGAAATAGAGCTTATAGGCAAGACAGTTAGGGAGCAGCTGGTTTCCAGGATAGTCTGCTTCTAACAAAAATCAATTACAGCAAAAGATAAGAATGTAAGGACATAAAAACAGCCATACTAGATCAGACCAAAGGTCCATCTAGTCCAGTATCCTGTCTTCTGACAGTGGCCAATGCCAGGTGCCCCGGAGGGAATGAACAGAATATGTAATCATCAAGTGATCCATTCCCTGTCTCCCTTTCCCAACTTCTGGAAAACAGAGGTTATGGACACCATCCCTGTCCATCCTGGCTAATAGCCTTTGATGGACCTATCCTCCATGAACTTATGTAGTTCTTTTTAGAACCCTGTTATAATCCTGACCTTCATAACATCCTCTGACAAAGAGTTCCACAGGTTGACTGCGTTGTGTGAAGAAATACTTTCTTTTTGTTTGTTTTAAATCTGCTGCCTATTAATTTCATTTGGTGACCCCTAGTTCTTGTGTTATGGGAAGGAGTAAATAACATTTCCTTATTTACTTTCTCCACACCTGTCATGATTTTATAGACCTCTATCATATCCCCCCTTAGTCATCTTTTTTCCAAGCTGAAAAGTCCCAGTCTTATTAATCTCTCCTCATCTGGCAGCTGTTCCATACCCTTAATAATTTTTGTTGCCCTTTTCTGAACCTTTTCCAATTCCAATATATATTTTTGAGATGGGGCCACCAGATCTGCATGTGGAATTCAAGATGTGGGCATACCATGGATTTATATAGAGACAAGATGATATTTTCTTTATTATTATCTATCCCTTTCTTGGTGATTCCCAACATTCTGTTCACTTTTTTGACTGCCACTGCACATTGTGTGGATGTTTTCACAGAACTATCCACAGTGACTCCAAGATCTCTTTCTTGAGTGGTAACAGCTAACTTAGACCCCATCATTTTCTATGTATAGTTGGGATTATGTTTTCCAATGTGCATTACTTTGCATTTATCAACATTGAATTTCATCTGCTATTTTGTTGCCCAGGTACCCAGTTTTGAGAGATCCTTATGTAGCTCTTCGCAGTCTGCCCTTCCTCCT